TTATTCACTCTGAATAATCATTTAGCATAGGTTGTAAGGAGTTGATGAACAAATAGAAATGAAAGAGGTATATCGTTATTTAATCATAAACAAGGAAAAAACAACTTACTTTATCAATAGTCGGTGTTGTATCATTATCACAGAATAATAGTCCGAATCCTTTATGAAAATAAACAAATGAATATATGCATATATATATGTATAGCCAATTTGATGAGTTTCATACATAATAAGCTCAACTATATACAGTAATACATAAGTAAATGGAGAGCTTAGGGAAACAGTTTTTTTTTCTCTCTTTAAAAACAGTGAAGTAATGATTGCTGGCTTCTTCAAACAGGGCTTCATATTACAGGAAGAAGATCTTTAGTGAGTAAATGCTGTTTTTAAAACTATACAACTTATTTCATCAATAAATACTTTAAAATCTTGTATTGTAGATGTATACTATGTCTTTGATGCCCATAAACATACATGCTACAAACATCAGTATTCATAGAATCTCAAGTGAACAGTATGTAAAATAATCACGCTTAACTGTCTGTCTATTTGAAGATTCAAAAATGACTGACCTAGACATTGGAAGTGTAATAAGTATGGAATTAAGTTCGACTGAAGAACAAAATCTTCAGGATTGAATTTCAGTAGACAGATGTTGAAAGATATTCAGTTGAATGAGATTGTAAGAAATAGAAAGCATAAAGATACTCCGAAAAGGTGCCTATTTGAAGTTTCTGACTATGTTTTAGTTTTCAAATGAAATAAAAAATTTATTCTATTGAAAATCCCTTAGTTTCTTCTAAAAACAATACCTACTGAGTGTTATAATATATTAAGCAATTGTACAATGATGTAGGGCTCTGACACCACTTTTAACCAGTCGACATCTTCAAATCCAGTGTACACCAACTGAGATTTGAATAAACACACGAGATGACTAGTAATCACATTATATAAGTTTAACCTACACCCTAACACATGAACCAAGTAACAATGATCCCATACATTTAAAATGATATTAACTCCGTCTGGAGCCCCTCTGAGGCTATTGCCGGTCCCAAGACCGGATAAAGGAGGAGGGTTGGGCATGGGGTTAGAGACCCCATCCCGTAGAAGACTAAAACGATAACCAGAAAAAACAATTCAAACCACTTAAACTCTTCCCTGCTGGTAAGAAAGTCTCCATTTAGAAGAGTTATGACGCCTCATGGTGAAACCCAAGTTCCTTCGGAAGTCAAGAGGCTGACGTCGCTGCTGACAACCAGAGCAACCATTTATTTAGGTACATGGAATGCTCGTACAATGTGGGACACCGAGAGTCTACCAAATTGCTGCAGAAATGAAGAGATACTGTGGTGTGAGCTACTTATATTGATATAAGTAGTATATAACGTGCGTCAAATAAACGTAATGTCCGGCAGCAGAAGATGGCGAAGATCAAGAAAGGAAGAGCAAGAACACAATGCAATTGTAAGAAAACGCATATACAATGGAATGGGAGACAATGGATTAGTGTTTGCAACGGGAACAGTACAGTTTGATATGATGGAATGATATTTTGCAAATTGACGATTGATTTTATGGTATTCACATTATATTGAGATAGTCTGTAATTTTTGTGCTAAATACAGTCGATTGTCCCCACCCGTGTTCTTGTTCACTGCATTTGGTGTCGCTGCCAACCAGGAGAGGAGGAGTGTGCTGTTCTGCGGACGCCGTTGCGGGCCTGGAGTTGAGGTGCTAGTTGGGGCAGTCTGGTGCGGAGAGGTGGCGTCTGGTGAAGTGTCCTGGCGGGGCTGCGTTGGCTGTAGCGGGTGCTGTCGACGGAGTGGAGCGTCGGGACGCACGGCTGCTGGGCGGACATCGGATGTAGATGGCTCAGCAGGCCGGTGGAGTGCGGATGTCAAGCGTCCCAGGTGCCGGGTGGGTGTTGGTTGTTGTTGCCCCGGCAGGTCGACAGAGCTGTGGAAGTCAGCGCGCCGCAGACTCGACATCTTGACGGAGAGCGTGGCACAGACTGCAGAGACGGAGAATGTTGCACGGCGAGCATGAAGCACCACAAGCACGACTGCTTTAAGGGGGGGACGAGTGTGGTGTGAGCTACTTATATTGATATAAGTAGTATATAACGTGCGTCAAATAAACGTAATGTCCGGCAGCAGAAGATGGCGAAGATCAAGAAAGGAAGAGCAAGAACACAATGCAATTGTAAGAAAACGCATATACAATGGAATGGGAGACAATGGATTAGTGTTTGCAACGGGAACAGTACAGTTTGATATGATGGAATGATATTTTGCAAATTGACGATTGATTTTATGGTATTCACATTATATTGAGATAGTCTGTAATTTTTGTGCTAAATACAGTCGATTGTCCCCACCCGTGTTCTTGTTCGCTACAATACAACCTGGAGGTGCTTAGAATTAAAGAAACACATTGGACGCAGGCTGGACAACAACGACTAACTTCAAGGGAGCTTCTGTTATACTCCGGTCATGAAGAAGAAAGTGCTTCATATACACAAGGAGTTGCATTGATGCTGTCCAAACAAGCACAAAATACACTTATAGGATGGGAATCACATGGACCAAGGATCATCAAAGCCTCCTTCAAAACAAAGAAAGAGGACATTTCAGTTCACCAATAGCCATTAAGCTCTAAAAGAGTCATTTCCGTTCCACCTAGTAAGGTAAAAAGCTTTTTTTTAAAAAAACTGTTTTAATTAGTCAAATAAAGAAGAAGTATATTCTTTGATGATCAACTTTTAATGAATTTTTTACATTGAATTTGGAAGAATAAATGCTTATAGGCATACTACAATCTAATCACAATTCATTGAACTAAATGTTCTATGGAAAAAGTGGGTCGATCAATGTGATTGGTCACTGAGTTTTAGAAAAAACATCAGGTATTCAGCTTAATTATTATTAAATATGTGGCTTCCTTACCTCTTAATGACTTCTACTCTGGACTCATTGAGAGTGACTGTATGTAACTTTGTGGAATATGGTATTGTTTGGATTTACTCTATAGTTTTGATCGTGAACCGGGTATGTGATATAACGTGTTTCGGTTTGTATATAGCGGATAATTTGCGTAATCAACCTAACGGTGTTATAAACTCTGTCACCCAGACCAATTTCATTATTGTATAGAAATTTTAGAGTAGTATACCGAAGAAGGAAAAATACTTAAATTTATATGTCATATCAAGAAACTGGTACGGCTAAGAGTGAGGAGGGTCAACTCTTCATCTCCAAATGCTATCACATGGCCACATGCATACAACCGTTGTCAGGGAAGTCCTACTCACTGCCTTCTCGCGGCATTACTGTTGTTTACGAAATCGACAACACGAGAAGCGAATGCCCGGTTCTTTAAACGGGTTGGTGGAAATGGAAGATCCACCTAGGGGAGTTAGAAAACAGTGATTTTAAACCAATGATGCACATGGGCTGGCTCCCAAAGGAACAAATGGAGTATGGACTTGTTGTTGATCACCAGATACCATGAGACTGTATCTCCTGACGTTGTTCTATTGCGTTGTGGATCAGACCTTTAGGTCGAAGGCTTCGGGTGTGGCTCCTTAAGAAAACCACCTACTTCGGTTTGGACACCCGAGCAGCATCACAGCCCTTACACAAATCGAATGATTTATGTGGCGCATATCTATTTGATGCCATCTTGTACCAATGTCTATATATGTTTTAATAAATAAATAATCGTGTCACACAGAATTTTAATCATGATTCATAAGTAATTTGATGGAGTAAAGAATTTAAACCAATCAACGCTTACCTCCCCAGCTGCCTAGTTTTCGATGAGTTGGTCGTTTTCGTGGCCGTTGAATTGAATTCACCACAGAATGGTTTGATGTTAAACAATGAATACTTGATGGCATTGAAATATCTTCTTGAGAATATGTTTGTTTAACACGAGGTGGTGGAGGTATAATTGGTGCTTCAAGTAAATCGTATAATATTGAATTGGATTTGATTTGTTTTTCAAGTTGATTCACTGTTGAATTAGATGGATTACCTTTGTTAGTATGCCTTGTTCCTGTTGTTTTGTTATTTATAGTTTTACAGGATAATGATAATGTGGTAGTTTTAATGGAAGACAATGTAGTAGTAGTAGTAGTAGTAGTAGTTGTTGTTGTTGTTATTGTATCACAATTGGAAGTAATGTTTGTTGTACAATTATAAATTGGCACAGGTTTTAATATATTATCATTATTACTTAAAAATGAATAATTCGGTGGGACATTATTTTGACGTGATACATCTGGTGGAGATGATGTAGGTGGAGGTTCTAATTGAATAGATAATTTATAATTTGCATCTTCAATAAATCGTTGAAGTTCTTCTATGTAACGTTGTGCTTCCAAATAACTGGCTATGGATTCATTTCGAACAAAAGCTGATGAAATTGAAATATAATATAAAAAAGAAAGGAAGACAGTATTTTTTAAAATGATAACTTAATGTGAAACTGACATAAAATTAACCAGTACCTTTTTGAACGGATTTCAAAATTCCATCTGAGCAGTTCTTATATGGACCGTAATTTGCCAACACTAGAACTGAGTGAAAGAAGCAGATAGGTAGTCTTTTTATGAGATAACATCTTGGTATGAAAAATAACTGTGTAGGACTAAGATCATAAATCCCCTAGTTGAGGTTTTAGAAAGCATACAACTCAGTGTATTAACTGGTTAATAAACATGGATCAGAACGGAAGTTAATGGTGATCATATTTCTCGTAAAACTAAGATGAATTCTTTAACATTTTCAATCGAAATGTCTCTTTTAATACGTATGCCCAACAACCGCCTACCTCGACGGGAGATGTCTAGTGTAGGAGTAGGTTGGAAGAAGGTTAGTGGCAGCCAAACTAAAACATGGTATCAATCCATGAAGTTACTGACAATTGGACTGACCCATGATAATAGCTATAAACAATCTGGGTAGCGTCCTCGTGATTATTGTAAACAATAGTTAGGAACGTTAAGTGGAACGTCTCAAAATTGGTGTATTCATTCTATATCTTCCCTTAAATCTTAAACTTCTGAATTCCTCATTATTTTTTGTATTTATTACACCAATATATATTTTCTTGAATTGAACCTTCGATGTCTATTCTTTTCTATTACCGCTAATACAATAACTAACTTCACTATCCTGAGATTTGTCCTCATAATTTCATTTCTCTGTTCTAATAGGGTATGGAGACTTGACCCGATGTATAAACGTATCAGATTGTATGTTGCAACTGGATGATTACTGGTTATTTATTCATTTTTTGACCTTTTCATTACACTTACTTACTTACGCCTGTTACTCCTCGTAAAGGAGCATAGGCCTCTCACTAGCATTCTCCATCCAACCCTGTCCTAGGCAATCCTTCCCAGTTGTTATTCATCCTCTTCATATCGGCTTCACACCCTGAGCCTTTGACCTAAAGGTCTGATCCACAAGGCAGTGGAGCAACGTCAGGAGATGCAGTCCCATGGAATCCGTGTCCACCAACCCGTTTAAAGCGACGGACATTCGCTATTCGTCCTAACAATTTCGTAAACAACATCCTCTGGTGTGAGAAGGCAGTGAATAGGACTTCCTTGGCAGTGGTTGTATGCACGTGGCCATGCAAGAGCATTAAGAGAGGAAGAGCTGACTCTCCCTACTCTCGACGGTACCAGGGCGTTTGATCGTAAGAACATAATAAAAATCGTTCTTGCTTTATTTCCAAAACCGAATAGTTTAAGGAATAACGATACCAATACTACTACTACTATTACTACTCGTATTAAAACTATATAAATTCAAATATATTTCATCACTTACGATAGTTGGATTGTTGAAAATTTGCAATAATCCGTAAGATATTATTAATTCGATCTTGTTTACCTTGATTAGTCCATGTACTATTTTCACGACGACTATACGATGATGATGCAGCCACATCAATAAAAGTTAAATCAGAAAGATAAACACCTTTAAACATGAAGAACAAAAAAAAATAGTTAGGCAGTACAATTTAACCCACTAAGCATAAGGTTTAAACTCAACTCTAAATCAACTGTTTCAGTATACACACAGACGGGTAGTAACATTAGTCGACATACTTAAAATTTAGTTGATACTTAAGTATTTAATGAATGAGTTAACCTAAACTAATAATGATAAGTTATTATCAGAGGATAGAACGCCAATCAATAGAAAAGTTTAAACAAACATTTATCCGAATTATCTTTTGATAAACAGAAACGAGATTCCAGTTATGTATGCATCATACCGGGGCCACGTGTATACAGCCAATTACTGTCAGGGAAGTCCTACTCATTACCTACTGTTAGCCGAGGGGTTGTTTACGAAATTGAGAGGACTAAAAGCGAACCTCCGACGCTTCAATCCAGTTAGTGGATATGGGAGATCTACCTAGGGGATTTAGAAAACCCTGACTCTAAACCAACGGTACACATAGGCTAATATATTCAACTATCCAGATGTATCAGTAGGTCATATAGTACACAACATTGATCAGTATCGACCAGCTGGAGGTTAGCGATACATCATACATGTAAAATAAAACCACACCATCTAATAGAGTTTCACAAATTTATCAATCAAATCAATATGTCTACTTAGAACTTAACACATAACACTGTTATTACTTCATTAGTAGTACAGATTCATTATGATATGTAATATTAAACATAAACGTGAGAAATACTAATAAAAGTCATAGCTAAGAAGGATTAAACAAAATGTAGTACTAACGATAAGAATGAAACTAATAAGATTTCAATAAGTCCATGAAAGTAGATCATGATAATTGTGATTCAAAGAAGCATAACTAGTTTTTTTTTTATAAAAAAATTATCTCTTCTTTAATCTATTCAAAACGATGAACTTCATATGTGTTATTCCATGGTCACTATCTGTTAAAAAGAAAAAGAGCTTAAACTCTACAATTTACAAAGTAATCAATTATATATCTAACTTTACATGAAAATGTTTGTGATGGCAAAGTGATTTGATTGTGAAGAAAATAAGATTGAATTATTTAATCATTAGGCTAATAAATAGTTGAATTAATGAGTCAATTAAAGCTAGATTACCATGGAAACTTTGAACAGTTGTTTCATCTTAGTATAAGGTTTCTCAGCCGTGCGCATCTACGACTCCGACCCACGAATGCTTAACCTCTAGACCATTCAGTCATTGTTCGACAAGGTAACAATGGACATTTCATTAAGGAGAGATATGAACTTAAAGGTACACCTCCGGATGAGAAAACAATACGTGAAAAGTGAGAAGAAAGCAACATTGTCAAAAGTATGTCTTAAAATAAGAAAGATTAGTTTAGAGAAGAGTACTCTTTCCGAGGAATTCATTTTCAATGTTGTGTAATCCTAAATATATACACATATTTTTCAGGATGATAATAATTACAATAATAGTGATAATAAACTTCTGTTAAACATGTGGTGTGTTCGAAGAGATTACGAGTTCAACTAATCTGCGAACGGAACGAAGATTCAATGACACAATGACCAATAAACTAACCATTCCGATGCGTCCCAGCTTGGTTAACTAGAGAGAGAATTCCAGGCTTAAAAATGGGAAATGTATTCCACAAGCAGCCAGAAGCACGAACAACAACAACAACAACAACAATAAGCACAACTCAAGTGTATATATACACCGTGTAAAAATGTCTTTAGGGAACGTTACAAAATAGCATATTGAAAGACAACGAACCAATAACATTTTAGGTCCTCTCAAATGAGAAATACGACATGAAGATGAAAGTGGGTGATTTTAAAATAGAATTACAAAAATAAGGCATTTACCAAGTGAGCTCTAAGAATTTAACATACCCAACATGGTGACAGTGAGGTAGAGTAAAAAAAGGAAGTAAAAATCATTTTCCTAATAATAGTTTTATTGTCAATCAGTTATCATCAACTTCTAAATAATGAATAAGAGGATAAGATTATCAATCGAATCAGTCAGGCACAATATTTCACAGGGCTCCTATCTCTGGCAGTATTCAAATAGACGACTGTGAACAGCTGAAAACAGTAACCACAACCACAATTAATAGTATGTACAATTTACGTTCTACACATTAATGGATAAGTATACGTGATGGAATGTATATATATACGACATATGAATGACAAAATAACAGACAGAACATAAAATATGGGTAATTGTTACAGTTACATACACATACGTCCAAATGGAAATCCAAATAAAACAAATTAAGCAATTGCAAAACTACTGAGAAAATGTAACAGTTTTTATATAGGTGAGAAAAAAAAGCTTAATAATCACCACTCTCACTGATTGTGAAATGGACGATTGATATCATGATTATAAACCATTTGGATTTATATCAGTATAGGGTTGTGGAAATTATTAAGTTATTGATTGAGATCTCCACAACCCTATACTGATAATTACTATGTGCTCACTAATGACTAGCTTCGTGAGAAAATTCTCGGAGTTCTAGTAAGAAGCCATGACCAGTGGAGCTAATCCGTATCGGGTAGAGACAGGTATCTACCTCAGTACAATGGAAGATGATTGCGAGATTTCGTGGATTGGTTGAGTTTGGACATTAACACTGTTGGATGCCGGCTCAGTGGTCTAGTAGGCTAAGCGTTCGCGCGCAAGACTGAGGGCCCTGGGTTCTAATCCTGCGGGGGGATCGTGGATGCGCACTGCTGATGAGTCCCACAACAGGACGAAACGGCCGTCGAGTGCTTCCAGGTTTTCAATGGTGGTCTAACATCAATCGGTCCAAGATCTCAATCCATATTTAGATTTTAACAAATGAGGTAGCAAAGTTTGAACATCGTAACATAATGTATTGTAGATTTGAGAAGCCAGCTTAGTCAGTCAGTCCCAACGTAGAACTTCGTACGTACGTACATCAGTTCGAGTTGCCACACCACATTAGCACAGAGATGCAGTGGTCGATTCAAATCCCGTAGTGCTAGATGTAGTAAGATTATAAGCTGTAATCAGAAAAATTAGGGTTTGAAGATATTATTCAAGGACTATAATCCAGTGAAATAAATTTGGAAAGAAAAAAAAGAAAGGGACATGGAGAAATCAGAAGATTAGAATTTGGGAGTACACAAAGAGTGTATGCACCTGCGCCATTGCAAACGATTTTGAGCCATGTCATTCAGGGTCTCTAACCATCGGTTGCTATCATCTCGCGGTCCCCAAACAGGTAGTCTACACCTGCCAACATGACTCAGTCCACTTGTCAGTGACTTCATGGACTTGTGCCATGTTTTGGTTTGGACGCCTCTAGCTTTCTTCCAACCTACTCCTATACCAGTGAACATAGCACATCGAGGCAGTCGGTGGTTGGGCATACGTAACACGTGTCCCAGCCATCTCAACTGATGAAGTTTCACTACGTCATCAATTGATTTGCCATCCTTACCTAGTACCCGTTTCCTAACAACTGCATTACTTACTCGATGGTCCCAGGATATACGAGCAATATTTCGAAGCCAGATTAAATCATATATACAAGACAGATCAAAGTTAAGTACATAAATCTATATTTAATAAATCAGGAAGAATTCTTAATGATGTTCAGAAATAACATATATGAAATAATGTGAGAATCCGTTATTGTGTTACGCAAAATTGTGACAACATGAAAAATTGATTGATAGAATCTGACTACTACTATGCATTAGAGAAATATAACATGGGTTACTACTACTAAGAGATTAATTTGGAAAACAGTCCAACAAGTCATCATTTGTAACTGCAATAAATCAGTAGTAAAAACTAGTTACTAACAATAAATGACTTTCATGGGAATCACAACACGAGGATTAATGCCCTTAAAATTCTAGATATACTTTGCTGATAAGTGCAAATTAGTGTAAAATCCAGGTTCTTGACTTTGACGAACTAACAATTAGAATAAGGTGCATCATGTGACATCTTGACACATTTTTAATGTTAGCTCACACAACAATACAATATGGATAACTATCTTCTCAATTACAGGTAATTACATTTATATTTTCATGTAAATTAAACACTGAATTATTTTGCTAGGAAGTGAAAGGTAACAGTAATAAATATAATTCCATCATGGACGTCTGTTATGGTATCAAAGAACAATCTATTAAAGTAGCTCTGGATCCAAATTTCCAATACGAGGTTTGAGGTGTACACTAATGAGGAATATGTATTTCAATGGTTGAGATAATGGGTCAACTGAAGCTAAACCACCATGGAAAACCTGGAAGCACTCGACGGCCGTTTCGTCCTATTGTAGGACTCCTTAGCAGTGAGCACCCACGACCCTGTCTCACGAGATTCCAACGCAGGACCTATCAGTCTCGCGCTCGAGCGTTTAACCACTAACAGTGTTAATGTTTAACTTCACACAGTCGTCTAGTGGTTCCAGGTTTTCCATAATGGTCTAGCTTCCATTGACTCATGATCTCAACCATTGAAATTACTATAACATTCACAAAAACCCTTCTGAATATGTATCTATTAGGCATTGTCAATGGTTTTAACTAAACACACTAATTAGTCTATTTGAATAATGCAATAAGAAGATGAAGTTTGTCAGAACTATGTGCTAATAGATTAGTGTAATACATTTCGAACAATCTGATCACACATATACTTGTTGTTAAAACATTTACATCTAAAAATAAAAGGTCAACTAGACTAAAAAAAATGGAGGATGAGAAGAGAAATGAGATAATAAATAAAATGATATGAAAAATAATGTAATACCTCATCAATCTGGATAATAAGCTAACATTACCATGGTAGGTTTACGAGTGAGAACAAACTATTTTTGAACAAGTACATATGTGATTAGATTGTTCGCAATGTATTACACTAATATACATCACATAGTTCTAATAATCAAATTTATCAAAATGGACTCATTTTTTAAAAATTTAGTCCAATGATGCCCCCGAGGGTGGGGAGATCTAGCTCTCCCTCTCCTAATGCTCTCACACAAGGCCACGTGTACACAGCCAACTATTGCCAGGGAAGTTCTACTCATTACTTATTGTTAGCCTGGGTGCTGTTTACGAAATTGAGAGGACGAAAAGCGAATGTCCGATGCTTTAACCGAGTTGGTGGATATGGGGGATCCATCTAGGGGATTTGGAAAACCCTGATTTTAAACCAATGGTCCACATGGGTTGGCTCCAGTATCCTGAGGTAACGAATGGCGTACGAACCAATTATTGGGCACCGGCTACCATGGGACTACATCTCCCGACGTTGCTTCAATACCTTGTGGATTAGACCTTTAGGTTGAAGGCTCCGGGTGTGACCCCCTAAGAAAACCACCTGCTTCGGTGGTCTAGGCACCCGGATAGTATCACACCAATATTTATGTCATCAAAGTCTAATCCTGATTAATGTTATCTAATATAAACACTTAACAACAATTAAAACTTACCTAAATATGGTATACATGGAAGACGTGAATTATCTACAGCTGAACGAAGATTAATAAAATTTTCTTCTTGAGAAAATAAATCTGACAATTTTCGAAATATATGACGATCACGTGAAGATAAATTAGACCATGTAGCATTTAATCGATGAATACATTGCATATGTAAAGCAGATACAATAGCCATTCCTGATGAGAAATTATTTAAATCAACTAGTTTCTGTATAAAGTAATGAGTAGATGTGTGTGTGTGTGTGTGAATGTTTAAGTGAGAGAAAATATAAAAATAGCCAATATAATTTTATTTATGACAATCATAACAAGATTAGTAATTTGAATAATTATGTAACAGAATTAGACTGAAGTGATTTTGTGAAGATTGATTGAATTTCTAGGGTGTTTTAGTCATAGACTAATCATAGACTCTTTAGTATTCACAAACACATCAGAGATCGAACATAGAACCTTCATGTCTGAAGGTGAACGCTTGACTAATAATATAATTCCAACTTGAATCAATTTGAAATACATCGTGATGATTATCCACTGTCGTTGACAAATATACATTGATTCAAGTTGGTATACTACGTCAGTACAATGAAATGCCATAATATAACCACATTAACAGAATCAGTAATAGAGGAAAAGATTCTAACCCTAAAAAACGAACTTGTTAGATGGGAATAATTTTTAGGATAATTAAAAAACAACAACATAGGATTGAAGGCAAGACAAAGAGTGAATGCATCTGGATCACTAAATGATTGTGAGCCATGTCAACTGCTAATTATGCTGATAGAACGGACTTTAACCAGATAATCTACACCTATATACATGGGTAAGACCAATAGTCAGTACCTTCATGAATTAATGCCATGACTTGATTTGGACGTCTCTAAATTTCTTCCAGCCTACTCCTACACTAGACAACATCGCCTGTCCACGTAAGTGGTGGTTAGGTTTACGTTACACATGTCCCACCCACCTTAGATGATAAATATTTCTAACCTTATCGACTGATTTGTCATCTCTACCTAATACAGTGAATCCACCGCTAGTATTGCTAATTTGGTGGTAAAAAGACATTTATAATCGAACACTAGTAAACTATGGATATAATCTCTTTTAAAACATTAGATTTTACAGCCATAGAGTACAATGGAGTAAATCGTTGTACAATAAACCTGCCCTTTGGCTGGTAGACGGACATGCCGACTGAACCCAAAGTGACGTGCATTGAAAAATACCGACTGAGCATTTTAAATTGGTGCCAAAGTTTAGCCAGACATTAACTCACTGATTGATATGACTTCCAAAAATAAGTGAAGTGGTCGACGCAATTTAATTACTTCATGCGTTAACGTAGACCAGTTATGAAGAAATGTTTTCCATTTAAAGAAGTATAAACACATTCTAAACATGCTTGTATTGTAGCTCATGACGATCAGAAGACTATATTTTTTTATCAAACAGGACTTTCATTGGTGATGACAATATAAAATACGATTTCGTTGTTAACTAAAGAACCCGCCATATTCGAGATTATTTAATTTCCCTATTTTGTTTTTTATAATGTGCTGAATTAGACAAATAGAGTATTGAAATTTATTTTGAATATTATTTCAGCCTAGATCGATACTCATCATGAACGCTTATGTGTAAACCTTTCGAGATGTGAAACTTAGGATCTTCAGGTTTCATGATCAAGTATGCGTTACTTTTAAATTACCAATCAGGGATTTAATAATCCCACATTTCTAAATTCAGTTTATTTCACAACACTAGATGATCAATTCTCAGTGTCATTTATTTCACTTATAACAATGTGACCGGGCCATGATGCGGTCACCAACTTCTCAATAAAACTTTAGGAATTCTTTTCGAGATAAGTCGTGAATGAAAAAAGGTTTATAGAGACTATTCAATTTTGGTAGATAGTTTTACAAAATAACGAATGAACTCAAGTTAAAAATGCAAACCGTTGGATGACAATATGTACAAGTGATTGATCAATAAGTAGTGATTAATATCATGTTTATCTAATCTTTTTAGAGATGACTGAATGTTATCGATTAAATTAACTATTTGTTAGCAGTAACAGATATGACCAACTCATTGATGTCAATCCTTAAAACTGTTTCACAAGTATATATCGAACCTGTTTTGATCGATAGGCCGTACACTAGGTTTTTTACTACTGCGGTGATATTAAAGTTGATCCTCGATCAGTGCATTTCAACTAGGCATGTCTATAAGGTACAGTGATTTTATCTGCTCTACTACTAGTACCTAGGAAGATACAAGAACTTCGCAACTATTACCAACGGTTTGTCAGGAATGGTAATATATCTTCCTACGGGTATTGTATGAGTACTTTATACTTTGATGAGGTAATAATTTCAGGACACTTGTGATTGTAATTTCAGTAATGTTTGTGTTATTATTCGGTAAGAACAAATCTTATGAGAGTCCAAAGTGGAATAGTTGTTTTCCGGGCAATTGATTTAAAACTACAGTAAATTTCTATTACAAGTATTTTGAGAATAATCTCGACAACAAAGTTAGTTATGTGAGAATGATAGAATTGAATAGTACTGCTTAACTTCAATGTATATTACCAACAATAGAGATAGTTGTATGTTGTCACATTTAATTGTAGTGAGATTATGTACAAAGACATTACTGACCCTATAGACAAACGAGTAGTGGCAACTTAGTGATCACTAGAATAAGTTTGCAATTAACTGTCATACTGACATTGTGGACTACTACTCACAAACTAACCATAAATCTGACTACTGGCTTTACAGACATACAAGTAATAGCATAGACCTCAATTCAAAATATAAATTAATAATCAAAAGAAAAATAGTAGGTATATACACTAACCTTTGCTATTCGTATAAAATGTGATAATATTTCTGTTCGCTTCGATAAACTTTTCTCATTTAATATATCTTTTTGAACCCAGAATATGATCTAAAAATGGATAGATAGATTTTATATCAGAAGGCTTTTTATAGATATTATAGTAATTTCAATGGTTGAGATCATGAGTCAATTGAAGCTAGACCACTATAGAAAATCTGGAAGCACTCGATGGCCATTTCCTCCTATTGTGGGACTCCTCAGTGGCAGTGCGCATCTACGATCCCGCCTCGCGAGATTTGTACCCAGGACCTAACAGTCTCGCACGCGAACGATTAACCATTAGACCACTGAGCTGACTGGCATCCAACGGTGTTAATGTCTAACCTCAACGAATTCATGAAATTGAGCGACAAATAAATTTTTTATTTTACTTTAACACATAGATATTGGTACAAAGAGGCACCAGATACATATGCGCCACACAAATCTCATTTCATATATGTGAAGTCTGTGATACTGCCTGGGTGCCCAAACCGAAGCAGGTGGCTTCCTCGGGGGGCCACACCCGGAGCCTTCGATCCACAAGGCAGTGGACCATCGTAAGGAGATGCAGTCCCATGGAAGCCGGTGACCAACGATTGGTCCACATGCCATTTGTTCACGCCGGATAATGGAGCCAGCCCATGTGCACCATTGTTTTGGAATCAGGATTTTCCAAATCCCCTAGGTGGACACCGAATGTCCACCAACCCGGTTAAAGCGCCGGACGTTCGCTTTTCGTCCTCTCAATTTCGTAAACAACGCCCCCGCCACGAGAAGGCAATGAGTAGGACTTCCCTGGCAGAGGCTACATACGCGTGGCCATATGAGAGCATTTCGAGAGGAAGAGTGGACTCTCCCCGCTCTCGGCCGTACCAGGGCATTTGGGGGCGACAAATAAAGTAATAACAAGTATGATAATGAACAAGCAATAAACAATGTGTAGGAGAGAGAGCGGGGGAGAGAAGAAACATTAATGATAAAGAACAGGAATTTAAAGTTCGTTCGAAAAGATAAAGAAGATTATAATTCTTTGTTGTTTTAGAAAAAAAGAAAGAAAAGATATCTCTAGTTGTCATAGTGATAGATAAGGAAAATTAATATTTTCTGTAATAAATATTAAAGCTAAATCCTCTTAGTTATATTATAAAGGTCAAATAGAATTATATAGTTTAATCATATATTATAGATTAACAAAGAGACATTATATTGATGGTTATTATCGATTTAGTTATATGGCATAGAAACATTTTATTGAAACCTCGAAAAATAACTTTTAGAAAAAGTCTGAAAATGTTAAGTAATGGTGATAACCAGGTACCTCAATGAGCACATTTAATGAAGCCTTACAACTACATCAACTTTATACCTGATATATATATATATAAAGTTGGTGGTGAGATGACTGTTTGATTAAATAATATAAGTCAGTCAGCTACAACGTAGGACCAGGCACATATGTGCATCGGTACAGGTTGCCATACCGCATCAGCACAACAAGATGAACACCGGATTCATAGCAGTGATTAGGTCAAAGGTGGTAATATATAATATAAACGTTACCTTATGGTAAAATCATAAATAAGAAATTATCACTAGTTACAATGTTTGAGAGCGATGCTAAGGTATTTGGATAAATTATTTGAAAGTGTGAACTATTAATAACTTAGGTGGTTGAGATATAGACTACATATACCTAACCATAGCCTATTTCAATGCGCAACTTTGACTGGGATAATAGTGCATTAAAGGAAAGCTATGAAAGCGTCCAAATCAAGACATGCCACTAGCTAATCCATAAAATCACTGACTGTTGAACTAGGCTGTATTGGTAGGTGCAAAGTAACCGGTTATAGTCCGCATGATGATAACTGCAATCAGTAGTAAGAGATGATAGATCAAGGCTAGGCTGTGTACACATTTTATCCTACACCATATGGTGAGTTTCAGGATTCCATTACAGATACACAACTTTTTATTATTTAATTTTTCTCATTACTATTGACTTTACCATTACTTTGAATTCTTTAGTACATATCTTGCTAATTTTATTTCTCTGTACTGATCTCGCATGTCCCCACACATTAGTTATAACTGAAAGATGTTTCACAGTTGGGACTGTATTTATCTCTCTCTCTCTATTAACATATGTTTTTTTTATGAGTCTCACTTATATTGTTAACATTAAGATTTAAGGCTATTTTTGCCTAATTACTAGAAGTTTACATAAGTATCATGCATTTGAATTTATCAACTATAGTAGAAGACAGAAAGTTAGAAACACATCAAAGTTGGTAGGAGGCAACAAATATATATATACGCCACATAAATCATTCGATTTGTGTGAGGGCTGAGATACTATCCGGGTGTTAAGGCAGAAGCAAATGCTTTTCCTTAGAGGGCTACACCCGGAGCCTTCAACCTAAAGGTCTAATCCACAACGCAGTGGAACAACGTAAGGAGATGTAGTCCCATGGTAGCCGATGACCAATAATTGGTTCATACATCATTTGTTCCATCAGGATACTGGAGCCAACCCGTGTGGACCATTGGTTTGGAATCGAAGTTTCCCAATTCACCCAGGTGGACTCTCGATGTCCACCAAACTGGTTAAAGCGCAGGAGGTTCGTTTTTCGTCCTCTCAATTTCGTGAAAAACAGAGATGCCGCGAGAAGGCAGTGGATAAGAGTTCCATGGCAGTGGTTGTGTGCACGTGGCTATGTGAGAGCATTTTTCGAGGGAGAGCTGACTCTCCCCACTCTCGGCCATATCAGGGCATTTCGGGTCTAGTAGAAGACAGAAAGTTAGAGCAGTAGCACTAATATAAAATATTTTGGTATTTATTCATTTATATAAACATATAAATGATATGCATGAGGGCTGGGATAATACTGCCCGGGGTGCCCAAACCGAAGCAAGTGGTTTTTTAGGGGGCCACATCCGGAGCCCCCCAAATAAAAGATATTTTGGTAAGCAGTTGATGTTACTTCAAACACAAACACAACAAAAACATTACAAACTTATAAGAAATCGTTCTGATGTGAATTAGTTAAACAGTAAAAAAGAATGCACCTTTTAAAGAACAATAAACAAATAGTAAAAACTAACTAACTTGATTAAACCATCTTGTAGAAGCAACAATATTTGGAGCATATTGTAGTTTTTCTTTACTATTCCATTTTAATGTATAAAATTCCTAAATTAACAATAAGAACAGAATGAAAATTTAAAGTAGAATAATGATTAATAATTGTTTTAGGCTTAGGTTGAATAAGATCAACTATCTTTTGTGATTAAACTTTCAGATGACTTGGGTAATTACGTACTCCGCCTGAAGCCCCTCTGGGGGCTACTGCCGGTCCCAAGACCGGATAAAGGAGGAGGGTTGGGCATGGGGTTAGAGACCCCATCCCGCAGAAATCTAAAACGATAACCAGGAAAAACAATTCAAACCACTTAAACTCTTCCCTGCTAGTAAGAAAGTCTCCATTTAGAAGAGTTATCACGCCTCATGGTGAAACCCGAGTTCCTTCGGAATTCACGAGGCTAACGCCTCTTCTGGCAATCAGAGCAACCATTAATTTAGGTACATGGGAAGCTCGTACAATGTGGGAGAACGGGAGAGTCTTCCAAATTGCTGAAGAAATGAAGAGATACAACTTGGAGGTGCTTGAAATTAAAGAAACACATTAGAAACAGGTTGGACAACAACGACTAGATTCAGGGGAGCTTCTGTTATACTCCGGCCACATAAACACAAAGGAGTTGCATTCATGCTATCCAAACAAGCACAAAATGCACTTATAGGATGGGAATCCCATGGACCAAGGCAGCAGGACCAGACAACATTCCAGCAGAGGCACTGAAAGAAGACGTAACTGTAACTCCGAAGATACTCCACATTTTCTTCAATAAGATTTGGGATGAGGAACAAGTACCAAAAGACTGGAAAGAAGGACTTCTGGTCAAAATACAAAAGAACGGCGAGCTCAGCAACTGTGATAACTACAGGGGCATTACTCTTCTCTCAATACCAGGAAACGTCTTCAACAGGGTATTGTTAAACAGAATGAAGGATTCCGTATACGTCCAACTTCGAGACCAACAGACAGGATTCCGTAAGGACCGATCGTGTACAGACCAAATCGCAACACTACGGATCATTGTGGAACAATCGATTGGATGGAATTCATCACTCTACATCAACTTCATTGACTACAAAAAAGCATTTGATAGCGTGGACAGAACAACATTATGGGAGCTTCTTCGACACTACGGCGTGCCTCAGAAGATAGTCAATATCATACAGAATTCCTATGATGGATTAAACTGCAAAATCGTGCATGGAGGACAGTTGACAAAGTCGTTCGAAATAAAGGCCGGTGTCAGGCAAGGTTGCTTACTCTCACCCTTTCTCTTTCTCCTGGTGATCGACTAGATTATGAAGACGTCGACACCTGGGGAGAAGAATGAGATACAGTGAACAGCTAGGACGCAGCTCGACGATCCAGACTTCGCAGATGATCTGGCCCTTCTATCCCAAACGCAACAACAAGTGCGGGAGGAGACGACTAGTGTAGCAGCAGCCTCAGCAGCAGTAGGTCTCAATATACACAAAGGGAAAAGCAAGATTCTCCAATACAACACAACATGCACCAATTCAATCACAATTGACGGAGAAGATTTGGAAGATGTAAAAGACTTTACATATCTGGGCAGCATCATTGATGAACACGGAGGATCTGATGCAGATGTGAAGGCGCTGATCGGTGAAGCGAGAGCATTATATTTACAACTGAAAAACATCTGGAACTCAAAACAACTGTCAACCAACACTAACGTCAGGATTTTCAATACAAATGTCAAGACAATTCTACTGTATGGGGTGGAAACCAAGAGAACTACGAAAGCGGTCATCTAGAAGATACAGGTATTTATTAACAGTTTGTCTATGCAAAATACTTCGGATCTGTTGCATCCAGGAACTAATGTGAGATGACAGCACTGAGTCCAAAAGCTGAAGCGTCTGCAGCGACAATGATAGGCATGAACGGATCGTAGTGTGTTAGCAATAGTCCAGAGCTTATGATTGTTTTCAGCCTGCAAAATGCAGCTTCACATTCTTTTGTCCAGTTCCAGCTGGTATTCTTATTCAGAAGATGATTTAGCGGGGCGCGTATGTCATGCATCGACGGAACAAAAGCTGAGTGGTAGCTAATTAATCCCAGGAATGATCGTAGCTCAGAGATATTAGTGGGAGTCGGCATCAGTTTTATAGCTCAGATGTTTTCAGGATCTGGTCTGCGACCTGCGGCATCAAAGATGAATCCCAAGTATTTAACTGACTTCAAGAAAAGCTGGCACTTTTCTGAGCGTAATCGGAATCCGTTATCGCTGACGCGTTGTAGTACAGCTGTCGTGCGCTCTCAAAGCTGTTCTAACGATGTGGCAACAATCAAGATGTCATCGAGATAAGTTACGACCCCCAAGTTACCCGATAGAATGGTATCCATTAGTTGCTGAATAATAGATGGAACTGTTTTAGCACCAAATGGTAGGCGATTGTACTGAAACAAGCCACGATGAGTATTTATGGTAAGTAACTCTCTCGAATCTTCAGCCGCTTCCACTTGTAGATAGGCATCAGCGAGACCCAGTTTTGCAAAGAACTTCCCACCATTTAGCATTGTGAACAAATCTGCAGGGACTGGCAGTGGGTAATGATGCTGTTCGAGAGCTGCGTTAAGACCTGTGGAAAAATCTGCGCATAATCGGGTTGTGCCATTAGCCTTCTTAATAACCACAATGGGTACTGCTCAGGCAGAATAAGAAACAGGTGTAATAACTCCCTGTAGTTGAAGGCGGTTTAGTTCTTCGTCAACTTTCGATAATGCTACGTACGGCACTGGTCTCTTTGGATAGAAGACAGGCTTAGCTCCAGATTTCAACCGATGTGTTGTCTTCATAGCAGTGCACTGACCCAATACAGGCTGGAAAATGGTTGAAAACTCCGTCATTAGTTCTTTCGAATACGCTTCAGGTTCACGAGATTTTTTCACCAGGTGGTATACGGTGCTTAAAGGAACGTCAGCTAAATGTAGCTGGTCAAACCAGTCTAACCCAAGTAGATTAAGATCACCTGGTGAAAAAATCTCGTGAACCTGAAGCGTATTCGAAAGAACTAATGACGAAGTTTTCAACCATTTTCCAGCCTGTATTGGGTCAGTGCACTGCTATGAAGACAACACATCGGTTGAAATCTGGAGCTAAGCCTGTCTTCTATCCAAAGAGACCAGTGCCGTACGTAGCATTATCGAAAGTTGACGAAGAACTAAACCGCCTTCAACTACAGGGAGTTATTACACCTGTTTCTTATTCTGCATGAGCAGTACCCATTGTGGTTATTAAGAAGGCTAATGGCACAACCCGATTATGCGCAGATTTTTCCACAGGTCTTAACGCAGCTCTCGAACAGCATCATTACCCACTGCCAGTCCCTGCAGATTTGTTCACAATGCTAAATGGTGGGAAGTTCTTTGCAAAACTGGGTCTCGCTGATGCCTATCTACAAGTGGAAGCGGCTGAAGATTCGAGAGAGTTACTTACCATAAATACTCATCGTGGCTTGTTTCAGTACAATCGCCTACCATTTGGTGCTAAAACAGTTCCATCTATTATTCAGCAACTAATGGATACCATTCTATCGGGTAACTTGGGGGTCGTAACTTATCTCGATGACATCTTGATTGTTGCCACATCGTTAGAACAGCTTTGAGAGCGCACGACAGCTGTACTACAACGCGTCAGCGATAACGGATTCCGATTACGCTCAGAAAAGTGCCAGCTTTTCTTGAAGTCAGTTAAATACTTGGGATTCATCTTTGATGCCGCAGGTCGCAGACCAGATCCTGAAAACATCTGAGCTATAAAACTGATGCCGACTCCCACTAATATCTCTGAGCTACGATCATTCCTGGGATTAATTAGCTACCACTCAGCTTTTGTTCCGTCGATGCATGACATACGCGCCCCGCTAAATCATCTTCTGAATAAGAATACCAGCTGGAACTGGACAAAAGAATGTGAAGCTGCATTTTGCAGGCTGAAAACAATCATAAGCTCTGGACTATTGCTAACACACTACGATCCGTTCATGCCTATCATTGTCGCTGCAGACGCTTCAGCTTTTGGACTCAGTGCTGTCATCTCACACTAGTTCCCGGACGCAACGGAGAAAGCTATTATGCACACATCTCACACATTAACTTTAGCGGAAAGATGTCCGGTGTTCGTTCGGGACTACAGACCAAATCATGGTCTCTGGACTGAAGCACATGTTGTCGGAAAATTAGGTCATGTCATGTACGAGGTAGAGGTAGGAAGAGACAGGTGGACTCGACATTGGAACCAGCTACGCAGGTGGTTAGCTCCAGTCCGCCCATCGACAGAAGGGAATCTCCCGTTTGACATCCTATTAGATACCTTTAGTCTACCCGCACTCACGATACAGGAAGCACATCGACAGGTCGATCTACGACTTAGATGGTGGTCACTCCGACAACGACAACAAACGGTCAAAATGCAAGTGGACCCCAGAAACGCACGTCATTAAGAGGGGGAGGTGCTGGGGATGTTAGATCTTCAGAACTCATTTGGTAAATGCCTTAATTTTATAATTTTGTTTTGGAGATTTAAATTTCCTTGTTTTCGCGCCAAAAGTGCTCTTTTCACCTTCATGTCGTATTTCCCACTTGGGAGAATCTTTAACGCTATTGATCCGTTGTGTATTTTTAGTACGTTATTTTTGCTACGCTTCCCAAGGACAGTTTTATGCTGTATACATACGTTTGATTTGTGTCTATTATTATTCACTCGTGCTTCTGGCTTACGGAATGTACTTTCTCGTTCCAAGTTAGGACTTCTTCCTCTAGTTAGCGGGGTTGGGACGCATCAAATAGCCAGCTTATTGGTCTGTGGTCACAAGTCTTTGTTCCGTTTGCAGATTAAGTGAACTCGTGATAGCTTGAAACCTAGGATATCGGTACAAGAAGGCACCAGATATATATGAGCTACACGTATGGGGTATAGGATTCGCTGTCATTGTATAACGGTATACCATTCCACGTGGTTTAGTAAAGAACAGATAACAGTGACTGTGAGTGATATTCTATCTGATTCAGTGGATACACTATATCA